TGTCATATCTTGCCCTGTCCGACGTCTCCCTTCATCCACTTTTCGGTTGTCTGTCCCCCAGGGAGGAGGTCACACACAGTTCCATGTAATCGGTTCCCTCATTCCTACCCATTCTCCCTTTACCCTCCCTGTTTAAAAAAGCTTTGAAATTGTATTGAAAGGAAACTAGAAGAAAACACATGTGGTAGTTACATAATTTCGTGTCAGCTTGAAAGTATAAGAATGAAGGGGTGGAGTCTAGCCTGTCAAGTAGGTCACAGGCTAATGGATCTGACTTGTGAGTACAGCCTTCTCCTAAAGAGGGTCCTGGAACCTCTCTCTCTCCCTCTGTCTTCACGTTCTTGTTGGCGAGTCACAGGGCTGAGACCTGCCAAAGCCTTGTGAAGCTTCCCACTGCCACTGAATCCACAAGACTCAGCACCCACCCGCCTGTGATCTTCCTGCATTCTGCCTGAGGCTGTGTGAGTCTGAAGAGGAACTTAAAGACCAGTATTGGACTTATGAACCTGTTCTGGACTGGGCTGGGATGCTTTCTTAATATACAATCACTTCCTGATACAAAGGTTTGTCTTACACATATGAGTATCATTGAACTGTTTCTCTGGTCAGCCCAGCCTCACACATACATTGAGCTAATAATTCTTCATTATAAGCTTTTTTCTCATTTATATATTTTTCTATAGCAAAAAAATTCAACAAATAGCAAGCATTAATTTTATAACCATAACAATTTTAAGGAAAAAAAAATGAGCCTGACTACCCATTCTAAAATATTCTCTTACCTAAAACATTATATAAACAAATGCAGTGTTGATTTATAACTTAAATTAACTTTATGATCCTGATGTTAGAAATCTTTTCCTAGACAAAGTCCTTAAAAATTATAAAATGAATAAAATGAAAAATCCACTTTCTGATGCCAGAGCATAGAATTACAATTGTATATTCCCAAATCAGATTCTGATGTTATATGAACCACAGAATTAAGACCTTCAAATGCCTTGCTTCAAATGGCAGGTTCTTAAGACCTATTACAATCTTTCTTAGGGCCCCACAACCTTCTACCTAGTTTCATGGAGTTATTTTTTTACCTCCATATAAACAAAAAGCTATTTATATGTATCTCTCTCTGTATATATACATATATATACATGATTCTCTGCATCTAACTCTTTCTTTCCCCACTAACTGTGGATCATCATCTCTGAGGTTTAAGTCCACATCTTTCTGGCTTCCAAACCTTTTATCAGGACGTGCCAATCAGTCCCCTAACAGATACTTCTTCCCTAACAATATTCTTTGACTGTTGAAAAAAATACAACCCATTTGTCGATTCAACCTCTTTCACGTGTACAATTTAGTGATATTAATTACATTGATGATACATGGAACTATTACCAATAATCAGTTATATTTTCCATAATGATAAACAGAAACTCATTGCTTCTTGTACAATGATACCACCACTCCCACTGCTGGTAACCACGTTAAAACTCTAGTAGCTTTGCCTATTCTAGATATTCCATGTACTGTTTGTTTTTGTTTTTTTTTTCATAATCAACTAAATCATTTACACACCTTCTTCCATTAACCCTCGGATCTGTTCATCTTTCTCTTTCAAAAGGTCTGTAGCTTCACCACTATTTAACCTCGTGGCAAGTTTTTCTTTCACACTCTTGATCTCCTAATGTGAGAGAAAAACATTCTTTGAATACCATAAAGAAATTACTTGGGGAAAAAAATTACTTTCAGTCTAGTTATATTTTCAAACTTCCCCCAATATTCAGAAAGCCCATCAATAATCACATTCCCTGTAACCCATCCCCATAGGGCCATTTCCAACTCGTAGCATCCCACAGGGCAGAGTAGTCTTGACATCTCTACAGATGCACACTCCCTCATCTTTCTCCTGGGGAGCAGCTTTGGGGTCCAACCACTGAGGTCAGTCGGCAGTTTAGGATGTAATCACTGTTCCACCAGGGCTCCTTATAGAAATCTTTAAATTTTGTTTAGTTAATGAGATTATAGCTTTGAAAATGACATGCACAACCTAAATTCAGATATGAACACATTTTAATATGGAAACATGTATAAATGAGAACAAACCTGCAATGTACTCCTTCACTATCTCTAAACATACAACTATCAAAAAAAAACACCCAGAATTAATTTTTCCAAGCTATGTATTTAAATTTTTTTTACGAAACAACCTGATCACCTTCACAGTACTCTCCATTACACTTCATACATTTGTCCAATCTGCGATTCTGTTCTTGGAAACGTTTTCAACGCCTCCATTTGGGTGGCTGACAGTACCTCCCTCGCTTTTCTCTTCGTGTCTTCAACCCATGGTCCTTTCATGCCCCTCTTCATTCGCCAGACAAAAGCAAGTTGCACGGAGCGAGGTCAGGTGAGTAAGTTGCACGGGGCAAGAGAGGCATGCATTTTGCCAAAAACTGGTACACTGAGATGGTTGCATGAGCAGGAGCATCGTCGTGGCAAAACCAATGATGTCTCCTGTCTGCCACAAATCAGGCCTTTTTTGTCACACACTGTTACACAATCTTTTTAGAACCTCTAAGTAGAAAGCTTGGTTAACTGTCTCACCTGGTGGAATGAACTCCAAATGAACTATGAGTTGACATTGTCCATTCAGGAAGTTGACGGACATCCAGAATGAGATTTGTTATTAATCAACATTTCACCTTTTTTGAAATGAGAAAACCACTCATACACTTGAGTTTCTCCCATAGCGCTGTCCCTGTACGCTGTGTTCAACATCACAACAGTTTCTGGAGCATTTTTCCCAAGCAGGAAACAAAATTTCACAGCCTCTCACTGTACTCTTACAAAAACGAGTACATCACAAAAAAAACGAGGTTCAAGCAAAACTGCTTTTACGAAACAATTCACTGTGACCAGAGACACCACAGGGCATAACTGACTCAGAGCGAGTTGCTGGATGCCTCCCTAGCGGGAAAAATGCAAACTATGAAAGCTCCGCTCCGCCCAGTGCAATTTTGGGGATTTTTGGGTACCCTGTCATATTCTATAGGTTGAAAGTTACATTGGGAAAATCATTTCAAAGAGTACCTATCTACATTTTTTACCTTATTTAGAACTCTTCAAGCTGATCAGTGTGTTATGAAATATAAAAGTAAAGGCTTCAATATTCTTCTAATAGAGATTCAGCAAGAAAAAAAGTCACGAGTATCTATCTTTTACGACTACCATGGAGAAGTATGGTGATGGGAAAAGTGTTCCATGACTTAACATTTTCTTTTCAAATATACTCCAGAACTAAGTTATAGCTAAAACAAACTAACATCTATTAAGCATTGAATCCACGCTTTGTATCCATTATTATTTTTTCCTTGCACAATCCTCTGAGGAAGGCACTAGTATTACTCAACGACACCGATAGGTGTTGGAGAGCTCAAGTAAGCTTTGCAGGTCTGACAGCTAATAACTGAGTTATGACTTAAACCCAGGTTGATGAGCCACCAACGGCGAGGCTTTGTACCATCACAACATTGCTGTACATTGTTCCACAGCCCAAATCTGACCCACTCATGAAGGCTCGATAAGAATGTCATGTCTTCCGTAAGATCCTCCCAAGTTCCTCAAGTCAGAATTCATTCTTTATACTATTCCAAACACTTATCTCTATCTAGAACATTCTTCAAGTAGTATATACTTGTTGAAATTATCTGTCTCCCACTTCACCTAAGGTCATTCAAATCCACTTTGAATGTTGAGGACCCTAATCAGACTGGTTAGCTAAAGCAGTACTATAACATGTGTAAACTGAGCTGACCTAAGTTTTATCATAGATAGTTGATGGCTTGAATCTATTCGGAATTATCATGTTTGAATACAAATACTATTTAAAACCTAATTTGATTTAACTGGTACATATGGACAAAAAAAGAGAAAAAATTAGTTATGTAGGCTCAAGCTATGTCTGAAAAGAGACAGTCAATAAAAAGTAGAGGGACATATACGACATACTGATTTTCTGTGAAAGCATACACAGAAAAAAATTAAAATACTGTCTCTTTAACACTCAAGTTAATAAAGAGCTAACATTAAGGGGGAACTTCTACTACTTATTACTATTAGTTGGGATGCCATCTTAGTTGGTTAACCAATTTCTGTTAATAGTCAACTATTCCAAGCTAGAAGCATTAGAATAATGGTTCCTAATCAAGGGTCATTATGCTTTCCACGGGCCTTTGGCAATATTGGAAGACATTCTCCATTTCCACACCCTGGGGTGGGTTGCTATTGGTATCTTGTGTGCACAAGCCAGGGATGCTGCTACCCATCCTATACGGTGTAGCACTCTCATACAATATAAATTTGTAGAGCCCAGGCTAAGAAACCCAGCGTCAGAATAAATCAATATATACCTTCCCAAAAGGGCTTAGTTGTTGTAAGTTTGTATTTTAAAATTTGGCTGGTTGTCTGACCACAAGGTGCAGAAGAGACCAGTTATCAGACATCAAAGAACTGAAAATCAGATCAGTGGATGCCCACTTTCCTGATACGATCACTGAAGACAAACGTGTGCATGAGCAAAAGTGGTGAAGAAAGCTGATGGTGCCAGGCTATCAAAAGATATAGCATCTGGGGTCTTAAAGGCTTGAAGTAAAACAAGTGGCCAACTAGCTCAGAAGCAACAAAGCCCACATGGAAGAAGCACAACAGCATGCGTGACCACAAGCTGTCGAAGGGATCAGGTATCAAGCATCATAGAACAAAAAATCATATAATTGTAAAGGTGGGTGAGTGCAGAGTGGAGACTCAAAGCCCACCGGTAGGCAACTGGACACCCCGTCACTGAAGGGTTAAGGGAGGAGACGAGCCAATCAGGGTGCAGGGTAGTAACGATGAAACATATAACTTTCCTCTAGTTCTTAAATGCTTCCCCCACACACACACTATCATGATCCCAATTCGACATTACAAATCTGGCCAGACCAGAGGATGTACATTGGTACAGATAGGAACTGGAAACACAGGGAATCCAGGACAGATAACTCCCTCAGGACCAGGTGTGAAAGGGGCGAGGCCTGGAGGGTGAAGGGAATGTGGGGTGGAAAGGGGGAACCGATTACAAGAATCTAGGTATTGCCTCCTCCCTGGGGGAGAGACAGCAGAGAAGAGGGCGGGGAAAGACGTCGGACAGTATAATTTATGACAAAACTATAAAAAATTGTGAATTATGAAGGGTTCATGAGGGAGGGGGAAAATGAGCAACTGATATTAAGGGCTGAGGTGGAGGGCAAATATTTTGAGAATGATGAGGGCAGTGAATTGTACATATGTGCTTGACACAGTGGATATATGTATGGATTGTGATGAGAATTGTACGAGTCCCCAATAAAATAATTTAAAAAAAGAAAAGAAACTATGACTATACAAAAAAAAATTATTTTGGCTGGCATAAAAACATGTATGTTTGAAATGGTAGGAAAATAGTGTATGAGAGGAATGATAAACTGATTTATATAGTGCCACTGAAATTTAAATGTTAGTCTGATGGTTATCATTTATAAAGATTATCATTCACCAAAACAATCATTTCTATACACCTTCCAAAAGAATTTACATATAATTTATTCAGTTTTTTTGCAGTCAAAATCTGTCATTTTACATACATCCACCAAAAAACTACAATTCAAGTGTGAATATGCCACCTGACATCTCTTTAATTTTATTTGCTACTAATACCAAAGTATTATAAATGTATTACTCAAAATTTGCTATCTTTATTTCACTATAATAGTTTCAAACTGTCTTTACCTTTTTAGCAGCATCTCTCTCTTTGCAGGCTAGCTGAACTTTCTTTTCTGCTTCTGCAATTCTTTGAGTAAATTCATCTTTTAAGGAAGAAATGCTACTGCTTTCTTCTTTCACTCTGAACATTTCACTAAATTCAAAATAATGAGAATAATGTTTATAGATTACCAAGGAAACAAAATGAGTTCTAATATCAAAAGGAAGACATTAAGTTTAATACACACTTTGTTAAAACAGAGCTTAAGGGCTATTAACTTTCAAGAGAAAAATTACTTACTTAATGTATTTAACATACCTCAAAAAAAAATTTTTAAGTGAAAATTTCCCCAACAATAAAATTTAAGAACTTTCACTATGTGCGAAAATGAGAAAATACCACTTTTTATTTCTGAAAGTTGAAACTAATTTGGTTAATAATTTTCACTTGGGGAGACATATTTCAATCCTATAATGTAACATTTCCCTACTCATCTCCTTAAAATAAATTAGAATTCGTTATTATTAAATTAAAATATCACAGTTTCTTAAATATACTTGTTTTAAATTTCTAACACTAAAAGATAATTAATATTAACAGGAAAAAGTTGAGGGTTTTTTTGCTGTTGGATTTTTACAAATATTTCTCTTCAATGTCAAATGTAATCTAATAAGAATAATTGGAGCCCCAATAAAATGATTAAAAAAAAAAAAGAATTGGAGGAGAAAAGTAATCTTTACATTAGTTAGAATTGAAATGCTTTCATTTTCAATAATTTAAATAAGTTATAATTTAACAAGTTAGCATTCCTTATTAGAGTATAAAACCCTATTAAATGTGTAAACTTGTCCTCGTTTGTAAAACACTTACTCTTTCAGATTATCATAGGCTTCTTCTAGAAGGGCCTTTTCTTTACTAAGCGATAACAGCTGAGCCTCCCTCTTCTCCAATTTCTCATTCAGAAAATCAACTGTCTGGAGAGAAGAACACATAAAGTCAAAATTATTAACCCGAGAAGACCCTTTGTACTTTCAGGTGATGACATGTAAAGGCAATTTCGATCACTAGAATAAGTAAGATAGCACTAACTTATAAAGAAATTAAAAATACTATCAGGAATAGTGGGTTCAGAACAAGAGTGTATATATAGGTCAGCGGTTCTCAACTTGTGGGTCGCGACCCCTTTGGGGGTCAAATGACCCTTTCACAGAGGTCATCAGATTCATAACAGTAGCAAAATCACAGTTATGAAGTAGCAACGAAAATAACTATGGTTGGGGGTCACCACAACATGAGGAACTGTAGTACTAAAGGGTCACTCATTAGGAGGGTTGAGAACCACTGGTCTAGGTGGTAGGAGTATAAATCAGTATAGCCCCTATTGCATGGAGTACAAACAATGGAACAGTATCTAAGACAATGTCACTCTGGGAACCTCTCAGAAAAGGAATGTCTTGCATACGTGCATTAGGTGACATGCCCAAGAACACTGATGGCAGCTTCCTTGTAACAGCAAAAACCTGGGAACAATCTAAATGCTCACTAAAAGCAGTAGACGGATAGATGCAATCAAGAGTTAAAAAATAGGGCGTCAAAGCCTCTAATAATGTTCTATATTGATAAGCTGGGCAGAGGGTACATAAGTGTCTGTTTTCGTATATTACTCCTTAACCCAAATAAAATATATACTTTTTTCGTATGGTACATTTCATTTGGAAAATAAAAGTTGGTTTTGAAAACCCATAGACATGCACTTTTATAATCCCCAGATTACCAATAGAAAACTAAAAATAAAGTAGCTACTTCATTCACTTCTGCCGAGTTTGTAAGGGAAAGAGTAGTGCCTTAGAGACTCAAAGTCTTGAGTTAAACCTAAGATTACTTTAGAAATCACTTACCTCTTAAAACACACTGAAAATAGTCAAAAATACCTCAGTAATAGTAATTAGTGTTGGCTTCTAACAATGGACACTGCTATTGTAGCTTTATACTATAATATGATTGTACTTTGTGAGTAATATTAAGCCAAGGTAACAGAACCTGGCACTGTTTTCATATTAAACAATTCAATATATGGCACTTATAAGACATTCTAATTTCAGGAGTCTAATAAAGATGCCAGATCCAACTCAGTTTCTACATGTCAAGATCACAGGAAAAACCAAAACGGTGACTTGATGTTAATTAAAGAAGTTACATCGCTGCCCTTGTGTATGTTCTTTGTTCAGAGAAAGCTGTCTTTCCTAAGGTATGCCTTCATTCCTTGGACAGTTCCCTTACTTCTTCATGGCAAACAGCTATCAATAAGAGAGATTTTTAAAAGCGTAAAAGGAAAACAACCTAAGCAATTAATAACACCAGGAAAGTATCAATAATAAATCTAAAGATTACATTAAGATTTATTACCAACACTTTGAATATGCAAAAATATTTTTTCAACATCTCTACACGGAAAGGAGTTAAAATGATAGGTGACAAGGAGGAGGTAGTCCTTTATAAACTGACCTGCTCACTAGCTATAGAGAATAATAAAGTAATAAAGACTCACTATAAGGAAAATGCTAACTTTTTCGTTAGCTATAGAGAACCATTAGGTTATTTTGCAATAGCTCTTTCGGAGACGTTTCAAATGATGTGATAGCATCAGTGTGTGAATTCTAAGGTTCTTAATGACACACTGAAATGGCACTGTAGCAATCTTTTTTAATCAGTGCAAATCATTACACATCACTGAGAATATCTGTAAGACAAATTATTTTATCTCTGGGAAGCATTATACTTTCTAGAATTACCTTGCAAACGTCGTCCTTGTCTGGAGGTGCTTCGGGCTGACTTTCAGCAGCTTGGCTCGGCTCAGCCTTCTTGTCCACGACATTGCCTTCGTTGACTGCCACAGCAGAAACCAAGATCTCCGGCTGCTCACAGTTAACAGGAGTTGCACTTCGCCCACTTTCTTCCATTTCCGTTTCTTCTGTGGATATAAGTGTCTCATTTACGTCTTCAGATTTTCTTCCAGCAGGCTCTGCTACTTTCGTCTTTGGAGTTGAAGAATTAAGGACAACAGGTACTAAATTATATCCCTTGCCTGACAATTCATCATCTGAATTGATTTCACTTACACTCCGGCTATCTAACGACTGGACACTAAATGAGTCAATTCTTTCAAATGCATCGGACGAGCAACAACTCTCAGTGAGTTTTTGGAAATCATCTAAACGGTTATATTCCGGACACGCAGATGCAGAGAGAAGCTGAAAAGATGTCTGCATCAAGTGAAGACTTGATTTGGAATCTGTCGTTTCTTGCCTTGAACTTGCTGAGCTCTCGCTTATTACACTTTCATGATCGAGAACCTCAATGTCACTGGTGGTGGAAGTACCTGAGGAGAAGGCACTAACAGGAGGAGACGGTGTGTTGCTCTGTCTGTCTTCATGTTTCTGTTCCTTAGGTTCCAAAGCCGAGTCCTTTGTTTCTGCTGTGAGAGACTGTGTGGAAATGTTAGAGCTGCTTTCCGGAGTTGTTTTCACACTAGTTACACTTTCAGAGACGCCCAAATGTCCAGCTGGACCCTGGATATCAGATGCCTGGTTGACCATGTCTTCATGCTTGACTTCAGTTTCAGTTGATGGAGTATCTACGGCCAGAGTTTCCCCTGATGCACACACAGGGGCGTCTTTTATTTTACACTCTACCATTTCAGTTGTTCTCGACTCTCCAGTGTGCAAGGATTCCTGTAAAGTGCTTTTCACTTCCTCCTCTGGTCGTTGTGACTTAGCGGGAGGGGTTGATACCACTGGACTCTTCGGAATGGTCTGGACCTCCGCTGGAGAGAGAAAGGCACTGAAGAAACTTTCAGATTCATCCACCACAGTCCTCCGAACAGGCTTTGTGATTGCTTTAGGGGAGGCTATCGGTGGACTCTGAGGTTCAGTCTTTGATTGTAAGCCCCAAGTTGAAGTGTCCCATCCTCCACCAACAGAGGGATTTATTCCTTTGACAAAGAAAAATTTTAAAAATAAAACATTTTATTATTAATTTATTTATTATAATGCAATATAACAGAAATAGAAAGGAAAGAAACCTATGGAATACAAGAGGGCTTCAAAATATTTGTAGAAAAATTACACTCTCTTAATTTCACTCTTCCATGAACTATCTGAAGTGCCCTCGTACAACCTATAATGTACATTTGTTCAACTCCTGCCTACTACATAATTCATTCATTTACAGGTGAAGTTGGGCCTTAAAGAAAAAAAAATGGTATGGATCTGCCTAAGAGGGGTTAGAAGCACAGGTTAAAGACTCAGCCTGGCCTGGCCTACCAGAAGCAAGTATGTCATTTCCTCTCATAACAAATTAAGAAAGTAATGGAATTTATTATGTAACCCATCACAGGTAGAAATATGTATGTTTCACCTACAAGAACATGCACCTCACTTAGAATCATTCCCTCACCATTGAATCTATTTTCACTCATAGTCACTCTATAGCCACAACCCTAGTGATGAAGACTAGAGCTGGGCTGCTAACCACAAGATCGGCAGTTCAAAACCACCAGCCACTCTGAGGGTGGAAGATGAGGCTCCCGTAAGGGTCACCCTCATGGAAACCCACAGAGAGCGCTTTACTGTCTTAAAGGGTCACTATTAGTTAGAATTGACACGATAGGGAGTAAGCAACTCTATATAGGATTTCCCAGGTTGTAAATCTTCACAGGAGCAAACAATCTCATCTTTTGTGAAACTGATAGTGGGTTTGAACCACTGACCTTGGTTTGAACTGACGAACATGGAGTTAGCAGTCCAATGCTGCAGGACAGCACCACCAGGGCTCCTGTGACACACAATGCAAAATAACCCTACCTGCTATTCAGCTTCCTGTGAATTTCATCTTGCAATAGCAACAACAAAACACATAGTTTTCTGCTAGAAAGAGGACAACATTGAAAAACCGAACCCAAAGTACTATGACAAATATCCTTTAACAAAACAAAACTCACTAGCATCAGGAGGTTTCCATAGCACGGTCACCCTATAGGTCAGGGTAGAACTGCCCTAAAGGTTCTGGAGACTGTCAGCTGATTGTTTCGAACTGCTGACCTTTTGGATTGCAGTCCATTGTGTAATCACTACATCCACTACCAGGGCTCCTGTCCTTTTCCAAAGGTAAAGTTAAATTGATAAGAACAGTAACTCCTGTAAGGAGATGTCCAGTGGCCTACAAATGGGCTTTGGGTCTCCACTCTGCACTGCCCCCCTCACTCACATGATATGATTTTTTGTTCTGATGATGCCTGATCCCTGATCCCTTTGACACCCTGTGATCGAACAGGCTGTTGTGCTTCTTCCATGTGGGCTTTGTTGCTTCTGAGCTAGATGGCCGCTTGTTTACCTTCAAGCCTTTAAGACCCCAGTGCTATATCTTTTGATAGCCAGGCACCATCAGCTTTCTTCGCCACATTTGATTATGCACCCACTTGTCTTCAGCGATCATATCATGGAGGTGAGCGCACAATGATATGATTTTTTGTTCTTTGATGCCTGATAACTGATCCCTTCAGCACCTCGTGATCACGCAGGCTGGTGTGCTTCTTCCATGTGGGCTTTGTTGCTTCTGAGCCAAATGGCCGCTTGTTTACCTTCAAGCAAAAGCCCATTAGTAGGCCACTGGAGATCCCCTTGCAGAGGGGTCTCGGGGAGGAGATGAGCCAGTCAGGGTGCGATGTAGCAACGATGAAAAGTACAACTTTCCTCTAGTTCCTAAATGCTTCCTCCCCACCATCATGATCCCAATTCTACCTTACAAATCTGGCTAGACCAGAGGATGTACACTGGGACAGATAGGAACTGGAAACACAGGGAATCCAGGGCAGATGATCCCTTCAGGACCAGTGGTGAGAGTGGCAATACTGGGAGGGTAGATTGGAAAGGGGGAACCAATTACAAGGATCTACATATAACCTCCTCCCCAGGGGGTGGACAACAGAAAAGTGGGTGAAGGGAGATGTCGGACAGTGCAAGATATGACAAAATAATAACTTATAAATTACCAAGGGCTCATGAGGGAAGGGGGTGTGCGGAGGGAGGGGGGTAAATGAGGACCTGAAGCCAGGGGCTTAAGTGGAGAGCAAATGTTATGAGAATGATGAGAGCAATGAATGTACAAATGTGGTTTACACAATTGATGTATGTATGGACTGTGATAAGAGTTGTATGAGCCCCTAATAAAATGATTAAAAAAAAAAAAAAGAACAGTAACTTCCAGAGAACAAATTCTTTTTCATTAACTTAACAGCAAGCCCATCTTCCAAGTCCCGGCCTCCAAATCCACTTTCCACAGAAAGTTTTGTTCACTTGCCAAATTTCAAAATATGTCAACAATTAGGAGAATGCCTAAATTTCAGAAATGTGCATTTTTACCCTACAAGTATGTGTTTTTAAGATAGATGTTAAGTGATGTCATGTGCATCAGAGTAGAGCTTCATGCCACTGGATTTTTAATGGCTGCCATCTTTCCGAGGTTAATTTCCCAAGCACCTCTGGTAGAATTCAAACCACCCACCTTTTGGCAAATAGACACACACAGATTGTTGGTGCCACTCTCTGGGATTATTTAAAAGGAAAAAAACACTATGGAGAAAATTTTCTTCTGGGAAGAGTAGGTAATTATTACATCAGTCTTGGGAACAGACCCCACTAAAGAGAGCAATAATAAAAGGGCTACTGGCTAAAATGTTTAAAGCATTTCTTTTTAAAAGTCCTTTCATTTTCTAAATTTAAATGAGCAGAATTTTCAAATATCTTGCAGTTACAAGTTGGTGAGGATAGCACATTGGGGAAGCATAGTTTTATATCAATTTATGCGGCATATCAAAACTTTTCAAAGGAGAAAATCAAAATCAAAGATGCAAAATTATTAGGTCTGCTGGTTATACATACTAAGTCATCTTAATGAATGACATGTATCAAATTTGCTTCTTGGAGAATAAAAAATTCCAGGATTATTTACTATGCACTGAAATAACTCCAGTGTGACAAGGATCAGCCTAGAACACCCTCCCAGGGTGATTATTACAGAAAAGTGGGTGAGGGGCCACAGAGGACGATGGAAGATATGGAGATAATAATCTATAACTTATCAAGGGTTCATGAGGGAGGGTTGGGGGGGGCAGGGAAGAAATGGGGAGCTGATATCAGGGGTTCAAGTGGGAAGAGAATGCTTTGAAAATGATGGCGGCATATGTGCAAATGTGCTTGACATACAGGATGAATACATGCATTGTGATACGAGATGTCAGAGCCCCCAATAAAAGTATTTCAAAAAAGGAAATAACTCCAGTGTGAAGACATATAGGCACTTTTGAATGAGTACAATAAAAAGTATACTAGGTGTTCAATAAATGTCTATAACATGTCACCAACACTTAAGACTCTAATGGATATTCTGTTTTTAAAAATAAAGTATATAGCATAATCTAGTCCCAGTTATCAGGAAATAAATATTTTAACATGTAAACATATTCTGTCTCCTCTAAAGTTTGGTCATTGAAAATGTGGGTTACCTGAGGAAAAAGAAGCTATTCCAGCAAAGTCCTATAACATTTGTAAAAAGCAAAGTAGGATCAAAATATCTTAAAATGGCGAGCCTCAAGTTTAGGTTCTGAATTTTCAACAAAAAAACCAGAAACCAGAAAGAAGCAAATCAGAATTTGTTCTTTTTCACACAAAGGTTCACTCCCCCACATACCTGCAAATCTCTTCCACACAACACACACAAGAAATGTTAAACTGTTGCTTAGACAGCATAAAATGCAAAGATCCTTTAGATTATCTGTCCACATCTGACCTACGATCATATGTCCAAATCTGATGGCTATTTAGGAAAAAAAAGCCCTGCAAAACCAAAAAAAACAGCCATACTCTCCCTGGGTGATACATCCAGCAAATTCAACCCCTCATTACCCCTGTGACGTAAGTAAAACTAGTTTGCTTTTCTGAGCCTCTGTAAAACATCAAAAAGCATGAACCTAGCTCCAGGAGCCGTTTAGAAAACGAGAAGTGTGAAGCACATTGTGCGCAACCAAGCGAAGTGTGCTCACTAACTGGCAGCTACTGTTCCTTCTACCTTTTTGATAAGCGGACTTCAGAGTCTGGCACCAAATACTGTCCCGAGTGCATAGTCAATGGGTGCAGGCCGAGTTTCGGGAAGGCTACTTTCTGGAAGAAGTGCGGCCAGAATGCTCCTTAGAAGCAGGGGGCACTTGTCTCAGGTACTTCGGACATGTCCTCAGGAGAGACCAGTCCCTGGAGAAGGGCATCATGCTTGGTAAAGTAGGCAGACCCTACCCAAAACGGGTTGGCACAGTGGCTGCGACCATGGGCTCACACATAATTGTGAGGATGGCGCAGGCCTGGCGACGTTTCTTTCCTTCTGTCGCAC